CTGATTATGTGTTTTTGTAATTAAATTATCAGCATTTGAAATAATCTTTTAGAAAGAACTGATAAAGCAGGAATTACAAAATATTTTTAGACTTATTTTGTATATAAAGACAATATTTTTTTCCATGTGATATTCACTATTTAAACAGATTTTCATTAAGATATAAAGAATCATTAAAAGAATATATTAGAATTTATAATATTATAACATATATTTTGCATCTTATTTTATACAGAAAAATTTTATTATAAATATATCAAAAAATTTTTTACAAGCATAGTCATCAATATAAGTATTAAAATATCAATAAAATTTTTAATTTTTATTATATAAAGTAGTTTAAGTTTTATTACATTTCTATATTAGCAATAATTTAAAGAATCTTATTATTTTTCTTTAATTTTTATATAATAATAGAATTATATTATTTTATTATAAATTGTAATAAGTTATTTTTATAATATATAAAATATAAAATATTTTAATTTTTATTTTTAATTTAAAGAAAATTATATTTAAATTATAAACTAAGGTATTTAAACTATAAATTAGTATAATAATTAAATATAATACTTTTAATTTATTAATTTATAAAATATAAAGTTATAAAATTATTATAATTGTAATTAAAAAAATTAAATTAAATAATAAATATTATTAAATAGATATACTAATTAAATTTTAATGATTTTATTTATCTTATTGAGTCTTTTTATTTGTTTAAGTATTATAAAAAAATTTATAAGTCTTTTAACCCTTATAAATAAAACTTTAATAGTAAATAAGCTTCTTTTATAACCAATTGTAGAGTATGTATTATATAGGGTAATCATATAAATTTACTCATTAAATTTTTAGCTTGAATTATATTTAAATTATTATCAGTTATCATTATAAAAATCTTATTATTTAGATTTCAATCAAAAATAATTTTATATATAATTCTACAAATATTAATAATAATATAAGGATAAAACATATATTTAACTAATAAAATTATTTCATAAAACTTTAAAATTATTATCAATAAAAAAATATGTAATATCAATGTAATTAAATCTATTTTAAGTTATTCAATAATCTGTTATTATAGAATAAGAAAGAATATTTATTAAATATTCTTGTTAAGAAAGCTTTAATTTAATTACATACTTTATTTAATAATTGTTAAATTATTTTATCACTTGAAAATCAATAATTTAGATCAATTTATAAATAAATTCAATAATTTTTTCATCTTTATATATTATAATCCTTAATTAAAATTCTAATAAATTTTCAGTTTCAACTACTTTTAATATTTAAATTATTTTATATTATCTCATTTATATAGGGTTGTGTTATTTGATTATTATTTTATATTTCATTTATTTTTTTTATAACTTTCTTAATAATTTGTATATATAGAAAAATAAACAATAAAAGTACCAGATAAATTATCAAATCCTATAAAATAATTACATAATTCTATACTATTTTTTTGTTAAACTCTAACTAAACACTTAATATTCCTTTTTTATTGTCCATTTGATTCATATTGATTGAAATAACTCTATACCTATAGCTTAAGCATTTGGGATTAAACTAACTGATCAGTTATTTTTATATAAATCAATTTTTGTTAAAATTTTCTTACGCTTTCTATTATTTCTATTAGTTTTCTGCTAATTATTTGTGTCTGAATCTGATTACAGGCTAAATGTTATTAGTTTAATAGTTTAGAAATAATACTAATTAAATTAAACACATTGTTAGAGTTACTTAACATAGATATTTTTCTTATTTAATAATAAGCTTATATTCAATTAATTTAATAAATCTCAAACAGAATGACAAAGGAGTTTTGATTTGATCTTTTAATCTGTCTGCTCTAGAAATTAAGGTTTCTAGCTATAAAATCTCTGTAAACTCCTCACAGAACATTATTATAAAAGACTAGACTTAAATATAAGTAATTAAATGATACTCTATTTTATTTTTTTAGTCTAATACGTCATTTATTTTACATTTAATAATCTTTTAATTTTTAAGTTATTCAAATTAACCGTATAACAGATCTGTAATTTCTTATCCATTAGCTAAAATTGATATCTAAAAATCCAGATTTTGTATTCATGAACTTGACTACTATTTTCTACTCTACTTTGAATAAATAAAGTTAAAGCTGAAATCAAATTTTATTAATAATAAAAAATTTTTTGATTATCTATTATTAAATTATTAGTAATGTATAAATTGCACAAATCATCATTTTTACATAAAATTATATATTATTAAAAATGGTTACTTAATTCTGCAGAATTGGTTTAAGACTAAAATTTAGTTTTAATCTAATCAAACAATTCAGAATAAAGATAGTTCCCATAATTATTTTCAAATTTCAATTGAGTTGCAACTTAATTACAATATAAGGAAATTTAATTATGCCACAAGTTACAATTCAATTGCGCTATTTTTTTAATTATAATAACCATCTTTAATTTAGAATTTTGTGACTAAAACCAGTATTTTTGCTAATTTGATCTTAAAAAATGTATCAGCTTCTTTACCAATAGATTGCGTTATAAAAATTTTAGATTGTAGATCATTATTTTTTTTCTATAAAGTCTGAAGATATACTACCCATAAATAGGATTTTCATATATTTAAATATTTATTTGCAAATAAAATAAAATTTAAATTTGAAAATACATAATTAATATTCAAATATTGAAATTAATTTCAAATATCAGATATTAAATTGATTTTAAATATCAAAAATTTTATCAATCATCTATCTTATTGATTGATTTTTATTTTAAAATAAACGAAATAAATAAAAAAATAAATATAAAAAAATAAAGTTAAAGCTTATCTAATCGAAAAATTTAAAAGTATGTAAAAAACCAAAAAACAAAAAAAGGAAAATGCAAAAAAAAATTCAATATCAGATATTTGAAATGATTTAAAATATTTAAAATACAATTTGTATTTCAAATGAAAATCCTATCCATAAAAGTTAAAATTGACCTTCTAAACCTATTTTTAGTAACACTTGATAGACAAAATTTTAAATTAATAAACATTTGTGCATTTTTAATTTTCTTTTACATTTAAGATAATAATTAAAAAATAAAAAATATAATGTATTTATATACAAAAATAAGGTTTATTAATAGAAGTTTGCATATATCTAAGATTAAATTAAAATTAATTATCAGAATATCTAATTATAGCAATAGAAATACAGTGACTTCCATAATTATTGTTCCATTTTGATTAAAATTTTTAAATCATGATATTCGCATAATTAAGTGATCAAAAAATTAACAATTTAACAAATTTTAATGCCTGTGACTTCATTTTTAATATATTTAAATTTGATTAATACTTTACTAATAACTTTATTAAAAAAATCATTAATAACTAAAAATTTCATGAAACAATACTTTTGACATATATAAAAAATAAACCAATTACATAAAATTTTTCAATTTATTTCTAACTATCTACACTTAAAATTTTTTTAATATAACTATTACTACTTCATATATTCTCTACTAACTTTAAGTATATCTTTAATTCTTTGTGGTATTATATTGATTAACTTCAAACAGAAATCAACATCAATTTCATTTTATACTAATTATATCTTATTTCACAGAACTTTTGCACTAGTAATATTATCAGAAAGTTTTCGCAAATGATGATTGATTTTATTTCACAAATATTTAATGGGATTTAAGTCTGATGATTGTGCTGATCAATCTAAAATCTCAAAATTATTATCATCAAACTGTTCATAATCTTTTTTGCTATGTATTTAGATCATTATTCTGCTAAAAAATAATATCATCTATACTTAAATCACATTCACTAAAGGTTCCTATGAACTCATTTACCAAAATCTCTCAATATAACTCTCTATCTATTCTTCCATCAATTTTATAATACTTTTTTATACTGAATATACCTATATATCCCAGATTATTATAGAACCTTCACCAAACTTTATAATTAGTTTAATATGTTATAGTTATAAAGGTAATTTTAAATCTTTTTAACATCACTCCCTTTTATCTAAGCCAAAAATTAAAAATTTACTTTCGTCAACCACACTACCCTTTTCCAGTCTTCTATGGTCCAATTATGATACTTTTTGACAAACTTTTTTTTTAGCATCCCTATGTCATTTTAGGAGTAATAGCTTTTTTTTCTTAACTCTAACTACAAGACCTTATCTTTTTAATGAGCGTCAAATTGTATTTGTAGAAATAAATGCATTTTCATTGAAAAGTAATATTTTTTGAATTTGGATCGCATTTAAACATTCACTTGACTTAATAAGCCTAGCAATATTCCTATTATGACGTTCTGTAAGTATTCTTAGATAGCCTAGTTTTAGTTTAATATAAAAAAAACCTGTTTCTCCTATTTGTTTATTAATTCTAAATACAGAGATATGACTAACATTTTCAAGAGAACCAATTGTATGACTTGGTATTCCTTCTTGAACAAGAGAAAAAAATATGTTCCTTTTGATAAAATGGAAGTGGCTTCATAATTGCATTAGAAAGTCGTACAAACTGATCTACAAGTTTATCTTATTTATATGTTTAAAACGTGTTACATGATCACTATTTTATTATGATTATTTTCAAACACCAAAAGTATTGTTCCATAAAAAAAATGCATAACGTGAAATTTTTTAAAAAGCCACAAATAAAGTATCAATCAAATTTAAATATATTAAAAATGAAGTTACAAACTTAAATTAGTTAAATTGTTAATTTTCTGATTACCTAATTATGCGGGTATCATGATTTAAAAATTTTAATCGAAGTGGAACAATAATTATAGAAGTCACTGTATTTCTCAATGATCATTAGATCACTCAATTTAGCAATATAAATAATCTCGCATTTCCATCTTCATTCTCAACAATTTATCAAAAAGATAAAAAATAAATACATAATCTATATAAAACTTCATTATTTACTTTCCTTCTTTCTTAAGACATCATGAAATTAAATCTTCTTCTCGCAATCCTCTTGACGCTTGTCGTTATTTCCCAAGCAGCTCCTACAGGAACCATTGAAGAAAGAGATAATCTTTTCCAAGAAGCTCCTTCAAGAACCATTGAAAAAAGAAGCGATTGTCCTCCTTACACGGAAGCTGCTTCAAGTTGTGGTATTGGACATTAACACTACAAAAAGTACATTATATTTTCAATTTCTTATTATTTGTTCCTGATTTTGAATTTCTGAAAGTAACCCGTATTGTTTCAGATCTCGTTTTTATATGTAATGATACGCAGAATCATTACGGCACATCATTTAGTACATAGTTTTTAAATTCTTTTGTTTGTAAAATTTTGTTTGTTATTTTGAAAGTGACCCTAAAAATTATTAATCACTTGTGTAATATACAAGACCTGTTCAATGTTAAAAAATTTTTTTATATTAAAATAGAGAAAACAATTCCTCAATTCCTTATGAAACTTAATATAAACTAAATAAAACACGCAAAATATTTATTTATAAACTTAAAACAGAAGAAATGAAAGTGTAAAATGTGAAAGCATCAAAACATAAATCTTTTTATACAATTATAATATAATGAGATTATTTTATTATATTTAGCATAAATTTGAGTCCTAATAATAAGCGGTAAATTGAAGCATGGAAGGTGCAACAAGCTGTGATAATTAAATCCTAACTGTTAAACGTAACGATGTATGAGGGTGTCCCCGTCGAAAGTAATGGCGGACAATTTTTTTGATTTTATGCATGCAATTTTGTATTAAACCTGGGTCAAAATTATTTTAAAATAAGATGAAAATCATAGAAACAACTTTTATTAAATCATTTTCGGTATGTCCTCCATCTGCATCAATATAGGCTTGAATTCGATTTTGCCATGCTATTAATTGTCCGGAGCGTAAGCGAAGGACGATATACTTCTATGTCAATATGGTTCTGTCCGTTCACGTGATATTATATTCGAATCATGTGTTAATAATAAAAAAAAATCATATTGATGTTGATGGTTAGATAATCAGTGTTCTATTTATTAATAATTAATAATAATTCGTTTGTGTTAAAAATTATTTTCTTAAATTACTTCTAAAAGAGCTCCGGAGTCACAAAGGTACCCGTTACCTATTACCTAGTGTAGTTAATTATTATGGTAGCATTTTCTGGGAGTTAATATCATAGCGACCAGATCATTGAATTTCAGGAATATTGACATTTTTTTGCAAAGAGGCAATATATTCCTTCAGCTGGAAATTTCTATGCATATCATAAAATCTAAACTCCAAAAAATGTAAATAAATCCCTTCACAACATTACCGAAATTAATCGAGTTCGTTTGATACAAAATAGAATCAGAGAACCAGGGGCGAGTAATCATCTTCGATTTGGAATGCAGGCTTTTTTTTAGGAGGAACGACATGGAATTATTTTGTTTTCTTACGTCAGTATCTCAAGAAGAAGTATCTTCAACTAAAAAAATTCTACAAAGTAAATATGATATGAATACATCAGAAAGTTGATTTATAAAAAAATTCGTTCCGTTTCCACCCATTACGATTAACTAACAAAAAAAACCATCACAACCAACGAAATGTTACCGATGAATACGATGGGTATGAAAACGACGAAAGCTCAATTTGATCGCTGGATCAATTGCAATTGAACCAAATTTGGTGAGGAAATAAGATTCAACGAGATTCTTGAACTTGTGTGATTCGTACGTGCTGGGAATTTACTTAAGTATCTAGTTAAAAAAAAGTTTTATTCATTTTTAATCATCATAAATATTTATTTCATATTTTTATTTATTTGATTTTTTTTTTTTTTTTTTGATAATGCATACCATAAAAAAATTATGTTATATGAATCATTGCTAGGCGCTATTAAAACTCAATTCTTAGAATTATATTTTAATTTTACAGGATCAAAAACGTTTTGATTGCTTTTCATACCTTCACAAACGATTGCATTAAACGTTTGATTCATCTCATCTATTAAAGTTCATTTGTTATCTGAGAAATAAACCAGTAACACCAGTAAGGACACCGGATAATTTATTCGTGTCATGCGCTTTTGCTTTTCTTTTAATTTCATTTTTATCTATTTTGGTATAAGGAACTCCAAATTTATCATGAGTTTCTGCTAGGGATGCTAATGGTCACGGTCATGACCGACCGGTCAACCGATCATAACCGTGCCCGATATCAGTCGGTCAAAGGTTTCTGCCCGACCGGTTGACCGACTGACTCGAGACTGAATAACCATGTTTTAAATAGTAAAAACACTTTGTATTAAAATTAACAAACCCAACATTTTATTTTAATTAAATATAATTTAAAATTTTTGAAAAAAAAAAATAATTAAAGTTCGCGATAATACTGCGCCACTAAATAAAATGACAAAGTAGCTTTCCATACTAGAATTCATATAATTGTCTACTCATAAAATGAATAGAATATGAAATGCGATAGCTGCGACGAATTTTAGAAAATCCATGCGTAAAAATCCATACTGCTGTATACCCGAACAGGTTAAGATTCACCTATATTACATAACAAAAAAAAGGTATGGAGACCATAAATTCGAATTCTTCAATAGAACTCACAAATATGACAGTTGCAATTTCCTTCTATAGGATCAAAATAACTGAATCCTCATATTAATCTCTACGACCTTATATATTTAAAGTATTTAAATAATGTTCGTAATATTAACATTTGATAGTTTAACAAATTTTTTTTTTAATTGGCGACGACCGATTTGTATATTCGTTACTTTTTTTATAACATTTAAAAAAACTTAAAAAATTTAATAAAAAAATTAAATCTTTAATTTTTTGTTTGCTTCTATTAAATAAAAAATTAATCCATCATGAAAAAGGCCATTCCTTTCAAAAAAAAAAAAAAAAAAAAAAATTTTTTTTTAGGTTTTCCATTCTTGGCCGGCGAATTCGACGGTGGGAAAAGACCCTTGCGTCTCACATATTTTTTTTTATTCTTTTTGCAATTGTTGTTGCATACAGGAATTGAAAAAGAAATTCGTTGTGTGTAGTCTTATGATTTACTGAATTCATGATAATTTTAACGCGTAAGGATGAACGAATAATTGATTAAAAGATTGATCGTTAAAGAGCTCATTTGAACTATTGATTTCTCCTTTTATAAAAATTGAATTAGAAAATCAGAAGTATACAGCACACATTTTATGATAATGTTTCCAATTTTTTTAAAAAAAAGATACGCCAACAGATAGATGCAAAGTTCGTTAAAAAAATCTCACGATTTCATGATGCGTAATATTGTAATTTGTTATTCAGTTTAATAAATTTTTTTTTTTTTTTTTAAATATATATACAGAACATAATAACGTTAATAAATAAATATTATACAAAAAAGTTCGATATAAGAAAAACAAAGTATATTTAGGATTTGATAAAATAAAATTTGATCAATTTGATTTATTGAGTTCGTAAACCATGTCGGTTTGTAATATACCTTTTATGGAGGAGCCCCTTATCAAACTTAAAAATAAATTCATAATAGATATTTGGCATAATTGGGTGCTTGTATCAAATTTTTGATGGCAAGATTATAATTGGCAATCATATTTCCATTATTTGCAGCCTTCTCGTACAAAAAAATTGCCAATTTCGAATCTTCTTTCGACTCCTATACTATACTCATCCAAGTATCAATATTTAACTGTCCCGCCGCAAGTTCCTTATTGGCGACCTTTACAAAATAACTAAATGCTAATCTTGATTATTGATCGTTCTATATCCATTTTGATAACATATTCCAACATAATATAACGCCAAGATATGATTCTTTTTTGACGCATCAGTGAATAATTCGAACGCCTTCACCTTATCTTCACTCGTTTCTATTCCAAAATAATTAAAATATTCAGTAAAAAATCATAGTTGAATTGTTCTGATTTTTTAATAACCAATTATAGATTTCTTTCAGAGCAATATTGTAAATGCTATATAATCAATAAGATGTAACCTCCTGATTTTGGTTCCTTTTCCATCATTTGTCATCTTAAAATAAGAGTTACTACTCGTTCCCAGGCTTGTATTGAATATCTATGACAAAATCATGATTTCTTTCATCCTTGCAACTACTTGATTTATCGTTGGTCGATTTTCCGATTGCCATTCCAACAATCTAAAAAGCAACGTAATCGATTCATTGAATAATTTATAGTGCTATTTTGTTTAAACAAATTTCAGTTAATCATAAAAATCTTTTCATCGAGTCATTTTAAAATACAGTATGTAGCGATATATTTACCAGATCTCGGTTGACGATAACTTCCTCGTGTAAACAAGAGATAGCACCAGCTAATTGATATGCAAAGTTCCAAGCTTCTTGAAATTTTCTTCAGGTAATTACAAAGGTTACCGCCATCAGCATATTTCATCATTAGAAAATATTTCTTTTTATCTAAAGATAAATGTGTACATTTCATTTAAAACGCGCGATTTACGTATTTTACAACTCGAATAAATAGATAACCTTGTAATGATTTGTAACTTGTTTAAAAGTGAAGATACGAATGTAGTAGTTTTTTTATTATATTTCATGTTCCTAATGTGGTGTAACTAATAAAATAGTGTAACAACCTCTGACTATATTTTAATAACCAATAACATTAATCAATGAACTCAAATTCAGGGGTTTTGGCATTTATTGGAAGTCTTTCCCTTTTCACATTTTTCATCACTTAATCTTCTCACCATTATTACAATTAATTTAAAAAAAAAAAAATTTTGCTTTGATATTATATATTTAAGAAAGCAATAAACTCACGAACCATATATCGTTTATTAAAGTTCATCTTATAGTATTAGTATTTAACTAAGAAGAAACTGACGTGGGAATTATAGTTCTCCGCTTTGGCCTGCTTTTCTTTATATCCTTTCACGTACTTCTTGAACAAAACCGCGAAATAAATTCCACACCCCCAATACTAGAAAAAATTCGAGATGAGATACCAGGAAACTTCTGTCTCGTGTACATCTCAAATGAACAAGTCAGGCGCTGTTGTCGTAGTGGTCGGAAATGGGACTGACTCCCTCGCGGTAGATCTTTGGCAAAAGAGGATGTACGAATTCATTAGATCAGAAGGATTCACGAAGAAGACGCAACGGGACAATTCAAAGTCCCAAAACGCGTTCATGATATATCGAAAAGATCTAAGCGCGAACGCACCTGGGGGTGAACTTTCCGGACTTGCCGGAAACATCAATCTCAAAGCGTGTTACAATTCTTGAGGTGGATGTAATCCACTATTCCCCCCGATCATAAATGTGAAGGATTGCTTAAACATTCCAGCATCACGATCCATGCGCGTAGAATATTGCTTCAGTCATATGATCCAATAGATTAATTAATAATAAAACGAAATTATTTTAACATAAAAAATATAATCTGCGTTATTTGTAACTTTCGATCATGTATCAAATTGCCAACAATACTTCGTAATACTTACAAAGCTTCTTTACAAGTCTACTTCGACGTTTCACTGAAGAATTATTAAATCAGGTAGAAACTGAAAGGAGGGAAAGATGAATATCTACCAAAATAAATCGCTAGACGATATTTAAAAGAATATAAGTTGAAGTTGTATACTCATAAACTAGTGATTTTCTGCTGGACGATAAGTTCATTTATAAGCAATCTCAATATTATCCACGAACCTAAATGATTATAAAAAGGTGTTAGTAATGTTACAATAGATGGTTGCTGATCACTAATTATCCTTCGACCGTCAATGGACACCAGAATGTAGAGAACAGGCTTTATTCTAATCTGGAAAGGTAAGAAGTGCATCAAAGAAGTTTCAATTATAAAGATTTAGTCGTAAATTTTTCAACGTTTTGTACGTTTCCATTGATACAGGGATGCAAAGACGCGAAAAATATTAACCATAATTGTATTACTTAAATAAAAAATTTTCTTTGATTTGATTGGCCCTAGTCTAATAATAAAAAAAATTTTTTTTTGTAGGTTCCATTTTCAAAATTTAAAAAAATTTTAGATGAAAGCTTTTTTGGCTTTTGAAATTTATTTATTTATTCAAATAGTGATCAATTCTTAAATACAAGAATAACTAATTTCTGAGTTTAAATATTACTTTAATCCTCCCGCTTTTACGTTTTTTTAATAACCCATCGTCTAAATGCAAAGGTTCACATACCTTAAAAGTTCGAGAGACACAACACACTCAAATAACAAGCTTACCAACATTACCAGGCTCTTTAATAAAACTGTATAGCTTCGAAACTCAAATAACAAGCTTACCAACATTACCAAACTCCTTAACGGATCTCCGTTGCTATCATTATGCCACCTACGATAGTTTTTTGCTATTTTAGCAAACTTTACCCGTTCTATGGTAAAAAGCGTTTGGCGTTTTAGGATTTGTGACATTGACAGAATTATCAGTAATTAATTCTTGTAATTTCCAATTTTTTACCAATTTTTTTTTAGCAATGGAAGACTTAAAAAATAGG